TATATTAAAGTTTTTCTTCATTACCCATTTAAGCCGTCTCCAGCCATTATTAGTCTCAAAGTTGGTTCCTCGTCATCGAATTTGACATTCATTCCAGGTTATCCAGACGAACAGTGAATAGGATACTGACCAAACAAAGTAATTCACCGCCATTGCCTTGTGATTTTGAGAAGACAGCATACCAAGTTACACTTAGGACACTGGCGACATGTCATTTTTACAGATGAGTCCTGTTTCCGGCTTGTTAAAGCTGATGGTAGGATTCGTATTCGTCATTTGCCTGGAGAACAAATGAGAGAAGGCTGTCTTTCCTACAGGGAACATACAGGAGGTGATGCAATACATGTTTGAACAGCTATTCATCATGGTGGAAAAACTGCTCTTCATATCCTCTACAGAAACGTCAATGGTGCCTCCTACAGGCATCACATGGAGACGATATTTCTGCCATATGCTAGGGCAAGATTTGGCAATAACATTGTGTTCCAAGATGACAATAACACTACCCACATTACAAGATTGCCATGGCCAGCAAAGTCTCCAGATTGTAATCCCATTGAGAACTCTTTAGCAGAATTGAGCCGGAAAATTACTAAGTACGACCCTCAACCAGCTATTGTAGCTGTGTTGCAGCGCCTTCTAGTGACAAGTTGGGATGAAATCTCGGTGGATTACATCAATAACCTCATAGGCAGCATGCCACATCGCCTTGCGGAGGTTATTAGAGTATGAGGAGGACCAACCAAGTACTTAGAGTTTAATATGAACCGATATAAAGTTACAGACGCTATTTATGATAATTTGATGTTATACTTTGTCATTATATGTGTTTTGGTAAGGTTTAGTTGTGATAAATAAAATACTGAATTACACTGTATCTAAAGGTGTCTGATAAAATTATTTTCTGTTCTAATAAATCGTTCATGATGTCCATAGAACCTGTCTCATTATACAAATTACATATGTAGATGTTTAATATAACATGTATTTCTCAGTTTGACAGAACTAAGTGTATTTGTACTCCATCATGATAATAATGATCTTATTTGTTACAAAATATGCAAATATTTTGGCCAAAATTATACTTGCGCACAAATTTGAACATAGCGAAAAGGAAGCTAGTCAAGGATGAGGTCTAGGTGACAATCCCAGGTATTGTGCTAATATGTCTAGGTGACAATCCCAGGTATTGCACTAACAGGTCTAGGTGACAATCCCAGGTATTGCACTAACAGGTCTAGGTGACAATCCCAGGTATTGTGCTAGCAGGTCTAGGTGACAATCCCAGGTATTGTGCTAACAGGTTTAGGTGAAAATCCCAGGTATTGTGCTAATTTAAATACACACATTCTATCACGAGCCACAGCCCTTTTCAACTGGGACATTCCAGCTTCACAGTGACTCTGCAAACACAAACCAAACATGGGAATACACAAAATGCACATCAAGAGATACTCGTGGATGTGTAGATACTATACAGCCACCGCTGAGATAACTCATCACCACTAGAGTTCAGGGAGATCTACATACTCACAGGGAAGCCCTATATTAAATTCAACACAACTCTAGTGGCATGATTTCGACCTTTCACGTACTAGTAAGGTGAAAGCGGCAACAGTGGAAGGTCTTCACTGATATTCCGAGGGAATGATATTGCTGGAAGATGAAGTACTTTATGTGGTAGTTGTGGAAATAAAAAAATGGGGAATTAATTGGACAGTATACTGTCAGATTGCTATTGGTAATATCAATAAAGGAACTCTCATCGACCTTCATATGAGAGGTCAGAAGCTGTTAGCACAATACCTGGGATTGTCACCCAGACCTGTTAGCACAATACCTGGGATTGTCACCTACACCTGTTAGCACAATACCTGGGATTGTCATCTAGACCTGTTAGTGCAATACCTGGGATTGTCATCTAGACCTAAAATAAAGCTAAAGAATACCACCTGCTTATAGTCTTATCCAAGTTTTATCTGTTCCATCTTGTATTTTACACTACCAAAGTTCAGCATGAGTATTACACAGTTATGTAAGATTGAAAAGATACAAAACGTGACTGTTCATGGGATGTACATCAGCCATTGTCCCATAAAAGCTCTATTACACCTCACAAGCCTCAGCAGCATCGCAGAACACCAACACCACTTACAAGCAAACAAAAATTATTCACTAGGGCTTTGCTGCCTGCTTCAACTTTCCTTGCATTGATGCTTTTTGTATCTCTGATTATCACAGTGTTAATGTGGCTGATGAAATTTAATTGTTTGTCATAGGTTATCCCAGGTACTTCAGTGTTTCTTCCATTAAGGATGGTAATAGTTTGACCTCATCAACACGTCTTTTGTTGAGTGTGCTGAACATAACCGTGGTTTTGCCAGGATTTATGACCATTCCTACACAATTTCCTCATTCTGCTAAGGGGTTTTTGAATTTTGCTTTCGATTTAAGCTTTTATAGAGCCTCTGCTGTACACTAGAATGTCTGTCGTCAGCAAAGGCTGGCATACAGCATTTAGTTGGACTGTCAAAACCGGTTAAGTACAGGTTGTAGATGCTGAAGAGAAATGGTGAAAGTGGTGATTCTTGAGGCACACCAATGTTGATGGTGATCTATCTGAATGTCAGCTTCCATGCTTCATGATGCTTTTCTGGTAGTTAATGTAGCTATGACCAATATGTTACACTGGTGTCTATTCTGGTAATTAATGTAGCTATGACCAATATGTTAAACTGATGTCTGTTCTGGTAATTAATGTAGCTATGACCAATGTGTTACACTGATGTCTATTCTGGTAATTAATGTAGCTATGACCAATATTACACATGTTACAATGATGTCTTTCTGGTAATTAATGTAGCTATGACCAATATTACACATGTTACA